CTGAAGGTTATTTTTTTAATCTGAAACACTTCTCAATTGTCTACAAAAATACACTTTTTTTAGGCTTTTAACTGTGAACCAGCAATTCATGGAACATGGAACAGATGAATGAAATCCTTCCTTGATATTGCTTGGTTGCCTTCTGAGTTTACATATATGTATCTTGAGTTTGCGTAAGCATTTTACAGTTATTCTTTATTTTTACATCTTTGTGATGTGTTTGTTCATTGCTCAATAAGTTTTAATTTTGATATTTGCATGAATGAGGGAATACTTGTTTTTGAGGTTCTATATATATTTTTAGATAGAGGCCAAAGACTCATGCCTTCTTGAATGTATTTTCACCTTACACATTCAGACAGAGAGTCCTTCTGATCCTTAATTAGCTAGTCAATTTACTTCAGATGGTCCCTGTTTCTGCCTTCAAGGAGCTGGGATTGCTGATGGACCTCTATGTTTGCCTGGCATGTCCTTGCATTATGGGGATTTGAACTCTGGCCCTCATGCTTGCACAGAAGGTACTTTTGTTCACTGAGACATCTATAGCCCTGGAGACTGTATTTGTAATTTTTCTCATTATAAATATAATGAACATGAATGCTAATATATGAGTTGTTAATACATAAACTTTTCAAAAGTATATTTGTGAGTAGCAGTGTTTTAGTCTTAGATTTTGATCTCTGTTTCAGCTTTTTCAGAATTACTTGATATTCTGAGTATTGTTTATTTATTACCTATTGTTATTTATTATTATTTAAAATTAATTATTCAATTAGTAAATTTGGAAGATCCCCAAATCTGGGTATTATATCTAAACTGGAACCATCTTACTAGGGAATTCTTTAATAGATATTAGTTTTATTGATCCATAGATACATAATATGACAAGACTCTGATAATAGAAGGCTTTGGCAACTTATAAATATTAATCATGCTTGCAAAGACCTCATTACATTTATATTAGGTCATAGTTAAACATAAACACCTACACGGAGATTATAAGTGTTCTGCTGGCAAAGAAATCAACATAATAATATGATTCTAGTCTCTCTTAGGGTTCTCCTTGTTACCTAACTTCTCTGGGATCATAGACTATAGGTTGGTTATACTTTGCTTAAAGTCTAATATCCTCTTATGAGTGAGTACATACCGTGTTTGTCTATCTGGGTTTGGGTTATTTCACTCAGGATGGTTTTTTCTAGTTCCATCTATTTGCATGCAAATTTCAAAACATCATTTTTTTTTTTTACTGGAGATTAGTATTCCATTGTGTATATGTACCCAATTTTCTTTATCCATCCTTCTGTTGAGGGAGCCTTCCTCTTTCTGAGGAGTGGATATGGGGAGAATAGAGCAGAAGGAGAGAAGGTAGTGGGAATGGGGATAACTATGCAAAATGAGAGAAGATTGTATTTAAAAATTCTTAATTAAAAAATAATTGGTAAAATAATTATTTTAATATTAATACTTTAGTTTTAGCTTACATGCTTTATTCCCTAGTTGGTATATTCATAAACTGTACATATTCCATGATATTATACATTTTGAATACAGGGAATATTCATTCTTTGTGGAAGAACATTCTCATTTAATTGTCATACGTGGTTACAAATATATATATGTAATATATAATATATACAAATATATATATATAATATCACTTTAGACAATGATATATACTTCTTATATAATAAATTGCAATAATGGAGAATATCACTTATCTATTATTTAAAATTCTATGTGTCAATTAGAACATGATGTTCCTTTTGGGTCTTATAGAGAGAACCTAAGAAAAATCTCTCCTTTATCATCATCATTTTGAGAAAAGTATTACAAACTGGTATACTTTATCCTATTTGGGTTTTGAAGTGCTATGTAAAGTGTATCTTCAATTTATTTGATATAGTAATCTAATATCCTCCTTTCAAATCATAAACATCTGATAGGCTGTTTTTTTTAGAAGCTTTTATTCTGTTAAGTGAATTTTGTTCAGTCCTTTTTAATTCAAAGGCAGTCTCACTAAAACACTTCCCATGTAAAAATCAAACAATTCTTCCTTTACTCCAAGACTTATAAAATAGAACACAAGCTTTCTCAAGCAACCCAGCTATTATTTTCTCTTCCTTTCACAGAGGAAGAGACATCTGCTTCTTCACAGGCTCATGGGGAGATTTTAAAGGATTCATGGTGTTCCTCCCACTTTGGTAGAATTCTTCCTTTCTGGGTAGTAGAAGTTTTCTTTCCCAAGCTAAAAGAATATTATTACTTAAATACTTAAATACCTTAAATATTAATACTTAAATAATTTAAGTATTATTAAATACTTACATTACTTAAATCTTGAGTTGATAATCACACTGTAATTTTATGATATTGCTTTTTAATATGTTTTCTCCAATCATGCCACAGCCTTAGAAATCATTATCATATAATATCAAATTTTAGTAGAAGTTCAATATTTTAAAGAAAGCATTCATTAAAATTGATGAGCTCTATTGATAGCTCAACTTTAACAAAAGTTTAGTTAACGTCTCTGAATACCTGCCTTGTTACTTTTTAACAAATTTTATGAAAATTTAATTATAATACATATTTCCTGTGATAATAATGTTTTGTTTACAATGTCAATCTGTTTCAATGTCAATGACTTTAAGGCTAATCTCCACTTTCTCTTCTATCAGATTTAGTGTACTGGTTTTATGTTCGAATCTTGATTCTTTTTATGTTGCGTATTATACAAGATAATCAGTATGGATGTATTTGGATCTACATGAAGTCTTCCCATTTGACAAGCATCATTTGTTGAAGATGCCATGTCGCCTTTTTAGTGTGTGCTTCTGGGTTCCTTATTTTAAAAAAATCAGGTGTCCAAGGTATGGGAACCTATATCTAGGTCTTCAATACAATTTCTTTGAAGAACTTGGCTATTTTTATGCCAATATCATGCCGTCTATAATACAATGTGAGGTTGGCAATGGTAATAACTCCAGCAATTCTTTTATCATTTTGGAAATTTTTAGCTATTCTTTTTTTTGTTGTTATTGTTGTTGTTGGTGGTGGTGTGTGTATGTGTCCATATGAAGTTGAAAAATTGTCCTTTAAATATCTGTGTAGAATTGCATTGCGATTTTAATGGGAATTGAACATATTATTTCCATTGTTTTGTTATGAATACCTACATGCAGAAAGTTCTGAAGTTTATTTATGATATTCCCTGTTGTTGGATTTTTTTTACTCTAGCCCAACATTGAAACATTAAAATGTTGTTGATTGTTTTATTCATTTTACTTTTTTAACTTTTTGTGGGGACAGACACCCAGCTCCCCAATAAATATACAAAGACTTCTTCTTATGTATAAATTCCTGACCTTAGGTTGATCTGTTTCTAGCCAGCTTTTCTTATCTTAAATTATCCCATCTATCTTTCACCTCTAGGATTTTTACCTTTTTTACTTCTACATATCATTCTTTCATTCTTACTCATTGGTTGACTGTGTGATTCTGAGGCTCCTAGCATCCTCCTTTCCTTGTTTCTCCTCCTTCTTCTAGATTTCTCTTTTTATTTATACTTTCTGCCTGTCAGCTCTGCCTAACCTTTCTCCTGCTTTGCTATTGACCATTTAGCTCTTTGTTAGACCATCAGGTATTTTAGACAAAGTATCACAGCTTCACAGAGTTAAGCAAATAGAACTTAAAATAATAGAAACCATCATAACAGCATTAAACAAATGTTCCACCACATAAGCAAATATAACACACCTTAAAATAATCTACAAATACTTAATGTTCCTACTGAAACCAACTAATGTTGGCCATTATGTCTATTCCACATTCTGAAACCACATTCATAATCACAGATTCTTAGATTTTTATCTTTTCATAGAGGAGTGTCACTTAAGTGTTAGGTGAGTCTATAATTGCCAAAATAGTAAGTTATAAACTAACATTTGAAATTGTACTGACTTGCTATTATATACTAAATATAATTAATTTTTACTTTTTTAACTTTAGAGATTATAAAACCTTAATATTCCTTACTTAAGTCATTAATAAATTTATTTTATAATACAGAATGGTATAAGGAAGATTTGCTCCATGAATATGAATTCACAGCACTGTTGAAGATGCTGGCTGTACAGTGCTTATTTAGCTCTTCATTGCAATGGGCTATGGCTCTGAGTCTTTCATATATTCCTTATGCATTCCAAGATATTAACTCATGTTTCTTTTTTAATCTCAACTTATATTAGAGAGAGAGAGAGAGAGAGACAGAGAGAGAGAAGAATGACAATTCCTGAGGTCTTAAATGCTAGTTGTACTCAATATTTTTCTTTGAGTCTATGGTGAACAGAAATGTTATTAATTGCTAGCTGTCGGTTTTGAGGTACTCAGCAGTCAAAAATTTCCAGGAAGCTGTAAAATGTGATGAAAATGGTTTAGTGGAATTCTTTTGATGGTTTAGATTTTTTACATAAACCATCAGCCTTCAGAAAAGTTGTCAAAGCTACATAGTGATTATATCAGTAAACACCCAAACTTCTCTCCACTCACATTCCAGGTATCAGTATTTAGTCTATATTATATGTGAAATGATACATCTAATGACAGAACATAGAACTCATTTTCTCACACCCATTATTACCACAGTGTCATCTTTCACGTATAATTTGTTCCTCGGATCTTGAGAAATTAGGCACAGCACAAACTGAACTTTTAGACCTCCATTATCTTTTAAAGCTTCAAACTATATATGGGTCATTGACCAACAACAACAAAAAAATGTAGAACAAGGTCAGATCCTTAAACTTACCTGCTTTCTTTACATAAATTCAAGTAATATGACAGATTAAAAATGAAATTAGAAACTCATGTAAAATATACAAAATACTTCCCAATAACAAACAAAAGCTTACTATTTTGAGCACATGTATATAGATGGCAAGTTTTATTGGCATTGTTCAAAACTCTACCATGAAATAAAAATTAGTATCGGTGAGCACATACGTACTTATTAGTGAGACACAAATATCATGTAGGTAGGTGGGTTTCCTGGGGTGATGAGAATTTATTACCCTGAGGATGTGCTAACCCTTGCAATTTTCCAAACTTAGGAAACTCAACTACAAAATTTATGGTAGTGGGGAACTGTATTCATGCTCCCCTCTTACATAGAATGAGGGGAAAAAAAAGATTGGAGAGAACACATAGCATGTTCAGTTAGGAAAGTTCATAAAATGATACTAAGTAAACTCTGTCTACTTACTCTTCCAGTGTCTTTATATCAATAGCCCGTATTACACACAATTGTGCAATGACCTATAAAATATCATACTATACGGTATTGTGTACAAATGATATTTTATTCATGATATTTATTTATTTATTGCTTTCTTATTTACTTTGTGTGTGTGTGTGTGTGTGTGTGTGTGTGTGTGTGTGTGCGTGTGTGTGTGTGTTGAGGGCCTGTTTCATGTCCATGTTTCTGACTTTAGGAAAAGGCAAGAGATCGAAATCAAGGATCCTGTTCTATCAGTCTCCCCCTGTTTCATTGAGATAGAATTTCTCGTGAAACCTGAAGTCACCATTTTGATAGCAAAGTTGGGCAGAGATGACTTGGGAGCTCCTATCATTAAAAACATGAGTTTCTTCATACATATATAAATGTATTAAAAGAGTTGTTCTAATATTATTTTATGACCTCAGGGTTAGCTCTCCCACCTGCCTCAGGTCTTTATGGGTGGGATGGGGTGGGAGGTGGGAGAGTATCTTTCCCACTCAAACCACCATAAGACAGATGAATAATAGGAACAGCTCTCCCATGATCACAACTTTGGGGTTGACTGACCCAAACCTTCACCAACAGGGACAACTCCATTGAGCTGCCCAGGCAAGTACAAGGGGAAAAAAGCAGTTTTATTTGTCTGTCTGTTAAAATAATATGACCAAACTATGCTTTTATGTCTGCATGTATATGTGTGTTTGTTTCCATAGTATTTCTTGTCCTTTTCCTCTGTGTATATGTGTGTGTGTGTGTGTGTTATAAGATCCATAAAACCTGTAACTCCAGATTATAACAGCTCTATAAAAGTACAAACACGTGGGCAGCCTCTATTTTGATCTCAGTGCGATCTTGAGTAAGAGTACCCATGTGTGTGCTGGACCTACCAAGGAGACATTCTGCCTCCAATATTCATTAACTTACTAAATTATTCCTTTTATTCTCCTTACATTTACTAATATTGGTAAGCTGTAACTAATTTGGTAACATACATGTCAAATTTAACTTATATGTCTAATTTAAATATAACTAACAGGTAAAGGTACCCAATTCTCAAATGTCTAACACAGAGACATGCCAGCTACTGCAGCATCCTGTAGCTCCTTAAAAAAGATATGTGGTTACAAAAAAACTTCCACCTGGAGGCTTGCCTTTGGGTATGGCAAAGCCACACACACAGCAAATGCGGCCTTCCACCTTGTCAGCTTCCTAGATGCTACACTAGGAGATGATTCATCTCATCCCATCAATATAGGTATACTAAATATTCTAAGACTAAATGCTTCTAATGCTGGTGTTGCCAAAGACTATGGAGAAACCTGGGACTGCCTGAGTAGAAAAAAAAAAAAAAAAAAAAAAAACCTGTCTCATTTCTGCTCATTTATCCCTCCCAGATCTGTCTAATGGCATTTGATAACTTAAGGTACTGGTAACTCATTACTTCATTTGTTAAGTTTTCTGCTAAAATTATAGACAGGTGTACCTCTTTCACGGGCTTCATAGTCCAGGATTAACAGTTTTCAGGTGTATCTTCAGAGATCTAGAGTTCCCAATTCCCTTGAATTGTCTTCTAAAATTTTTTTGTTCCTGTTGTCTTACAGATCCCTCAGGTTCCTGGAAAAAGTTATGCTGCTGTATCAAAAATTAGGTCTGATTAAAAAAAAAACTGATAGTCTCCAGAGTATATTAAACCCCATCCATTTTCAAGCATATTTTACAGGTCACTCCTGCTATCTGGGCCAAGACCAACTTACAAAGCACCCTCCAGTTAATGCCAACACCTGCACGAGCTTCTGAACTTCACCATTGGTACCAACTCTCCTGGCTTAAGGATATCTACCAACTAATTTGGTTTTAAAAGGGCCTGTCTGCTCTTGTGTCTCACTTATTCACCCGTGCCTCCCTGTACAGCCAGGGCACCCCCTGTCCCATTCTTTTTGGCAGTTAATGACCTTTTCCATGGCTAACCCTCTTCATAAGACCAATAATAAAATTTTTTTTTCTCTTAGCCACCTGCCTTCTCATGATCCTCAAGGAACAGACGCCTGAAGTCTCCAAGATGGCAGTAAACTGGATGCTTCTCCAATCACACCTCTTGCTAAGAATGAGCCCACTAACTCCCAACGCTCCCCTCTCCCATGTTGCCCCATGACAGCAGGAAGTAGTCAGACTTGAGCTCATGTTTCTTTTTCCAAGGAGTCTGAAATGTTTGATTGGGAACATCACCTCAGCCCCTAACATCCTTATCAAAACAAGTCTGAAATCTTTGGTTGGGAGCTTCACCCCACCTCCTGTCACCACTTTTGCAATGTTGGGTGAAAAGCTCCATTTCAAGCCTTTCGCCTCTTGGAGTTGCTATAGTCCAGACTCCACCTCTGAGGAAACCTGCCAAAAGGTGCTCCCTCCCCAGAGAGTGTCAAGACCACTCCCACAGGCTATTTAAACTGTGCCCCCACAGGAACAAACACATAGTATCTCCAGTTTTCCATTCCCCTTTCCATGGGAAGGAATATGAAGGGTCACCCAGGAGTGCTGGCATTCATTAAACCTGGTTCTTTTCTAATTTGGTTTGATTTGGTCTAGTTTGGATTATTGAATTGGCAGAGAGGCTCATTGGGCCAGGAAAACCTTAACAGAAAGGAAGGAAGAAAGGAAGGAAGGAAGGAAGGGGGGAAGGGAGGGAGGGAGGAAGGGAGGAGAGAAAAGATGGATACAGTTATCCACTAGTACCTCCTCTAAGTAGTAAGCCCTGATAAGAGTGAATCATTCTACAATGAGTAAATGAAATGCATAGTTCTATCTCCAGCAACACAATAAAGCCACTGTTTTTGGTGAAGCAGAGAATGCTCAGTGGAGCATGGCATGGAAAGCATTGTACTCAAAGGCAATGTAAGTCTTCAACTACATTGAGGGTTTATTGCCTGATTTGTTTTGGAGTTATAAAACACCATTTAGAGAAACTTCAGTAAATACTTAGAAAATAAAATCCAATCACTCTTGTCTGTATTATGGATATAATATGTAAAGAAAAAGATCAGAAACAAGGTGAAATATTTTAAATTATACCAATTCCGTTGTGTCTGGATGACACTGTTTCCACAATTCAAACTATCAAAATCCCTTCACGGAGAAGGGGAACTAGACACAATGTCCATCCTCTAAGCAAGAAGCTATTTACAAGTGAAGCCTGCTTGCAAAGGAAGAAATCAGTTTTCTCCAGTGTAATGTCAATGAACATACCAACCAGTCCAGGGCAAGCCCCAGGCCAAGAAGTTGGCCAACACAAATTTGACCCATGTTTTGCTTTGCTGTTTGTGAGAATTTTGTCTTTTGTTTTGTTTGTGCTTCATTTTGTCTTGTGTTGCTTTTATTATTAGTGGGTTTGGTTTTGTTTTCATTTTTTTGAGGTATAGAAAAAAAGAAGAGGGAGACAGAGAGAATAAAGGTGAAATAAAGTAGCTACAGAGGTGAATATTATGTGGAAAGAAAAGAATATGATCAAACACATTTTATAAAAAACTTTTTAAAGGAAATAAATTGATAAGTTTCATTGTCTCTGAATTAATTTTTCTTTTACTTAACTGCATTTTGAGGTTTATTAGAATATATAATATTTTTCTTTGCTATGATGGATGAAGTTATTTATTTCAAGCATAATGGAAGTGTTCTAGAATTCTAAATAATGAAAATCTAAATAACGTAAAATATTTACTTCCTAGCTCATAGTTTGAAAATCTAGATTATATTTCCTCTGGAGTAACTTACCCCTACCAAATCCCTGCAAAGGACTTTGAAGTGATAATGTATCCAAGCCAAGATCAAGGAAGAAAAATGAGCCAGTATTCTTATCCACAGTTAAATTTTCTTCTTTATTAATGGCTAAAGTATAAATTCCTATGTAATTAAATTATTAATTGTGAGTTTTCTAAATCTTTCTGTATTTTTTTGCCTGTGTTCACAAGAATCTTTTTTAAATTTAATTTCTTGCATATATAGACCTACTTCTTTCTATTCTTTAAATTACAAGATTATAGTTCATCAATAATTAATAAGGAATAGTTATTATGAGATTGAAATGTAGATAGTGGTAGAAGATTTGGCTAGCATGCACAAGGACATGGGTTTCTACACTGGCTTGATTAAAAATAAAAATCACTTCTTTAAAAGTATCTTTTTTTTCCTTAAACTTTCAAACATAGTTAGAATTGTCATCACTCATAAATATCGCTGTTGTTGCTTAAGCCTGTATAACTATTTTAAATATTTTCATATGACCTCTTCAGAATGAATGATGGTAACAGGAAGACAGATGGAGTGCATCATTTTTTTAATCTGAACAACATAATTATCCTAGAAAAGGCAGGTCATTTATTTCAATCATGATTCTTTATGGACAACAGTCTATTATTATGGTGAGAGAGCACACTTAAATTGTATGCATTATTTAAAGATTGGTATGGAATGTTTCATGTAAAAACTAAAAGGATTTTAGAGGTCTTAAGGCTGATTGAATCATAAACCTGCAAGGATACCAAACTGAGTAAAACATATCTGGATGGTTCAGTTCAGTACATAAGGATTGGGAAACTAAACTATATTGGTACTTTTACTTATTCATAAAGAAGTGGTGGGGGACTGGTCCCAAGAGGGGACGTGGTGGGTCACCAAGGCCTCGGCAGGTCCCCTGGCAGTGGCCTAAGGCCATAGTGGGAGACAGACAGATCCATGTGCCATGCAGAAAGAGTTTGTGTATAGAGTTTGTTTAGTGGGTTAGGAAGGGGAAAGAGGAGGGAGAAGGGAGTAGGGAAAGGGGGGTGTTACAAGGAGGGGCTGCTTGTTCATCCTGGCTGCCCGGCTAGCTTAGCCCCAAAATAACCACACAGAAACT